GCACTTCACATGAGAATACATACAGCTATGTAAATCCAGCAATGAGCCCTGGTGCACAGCAGATACCTCTGCAATTCAAGGGCCAGGAAAAGATTTCCTCTAGTTCATGTGCTGTAAGGAGACAGGAGTGAAAAGGAAAGCAATTTAGAGAACTCTTTAGCTTGGTTGAGTTGAAGCCCCCTTTTTATTGGAATACAGAAAAGGATCATTGCAGACTTAAAGTTCTGAGCTGCATGAAAAAATCTGCCTCCAAAGGAAAGACAGCTGTGATGTGCTGTCCTCTGTTATCTGAGGATATAATCTATCCGCCATAGTCCATTGCAATGGAAGTAATGTCAACTGAAATTGAAGCAGTGCTATGGAAGAAAGGCTGTCATTGTAAAATTTTTAGTGCTGCTTTTTTCTTCCACTCTTCATAATGTTATAGTTGATTTTGTGCTGCTGGGACAACCTTAATGTGTAGTATGTAATGTTTTTATAATGCTTGCCTGTCCTTGTCTGGTGCCTGGAAGAAATTTCCACGTCCTCTAGCCCTATTGTTTCTAACTGGAAATACTAGTTCTGTTAAAGGGTCTTTTTTCTGGAAGTCCTTCATGTAAGCTTCTATTTACCTAATATGGCGAAAGGAGAAGCAAAAGACTGCTGAGGAGAAGGCTGTGTCAAATACCACTTAATGATATCCCATGCATCTGTCTTAACTTCAGGACTCTGCCAGATACCTGTTCAACTGCTTTGCTTCTTTGGGCAGGAAAGAAACCGGAATTACCTGGTTCAAACCTGTCAATCCTGTGTAATTCCAGGCAAACATTTACCTGCTTTTCAGTGTTTCAAGCACTGTCCATCCGCTGTTCCCCTGTGATACATGGTTAATTAAAAGCAGGGATGCCTTAGCCATTTATGTTGCTGTTTCCTGGCAAATGTTCATTAATAGCCTAGCAAAGCTGGAGATGCTTTGCAGGGGGACTGGAAGTAGTCTCTGGCAGTCTTTGCCTTTACACTTTATTACCAAATAACATCTGCATGGCAAAACAGTCAACATTGCAAGCTCAGGGGAAGCAGTGGGTAATCCTGAAACTTTCTGTCCCAATTACTGCCTTCTGTGAGCAAGTTCAGTGCTATGTAACTGCTACTGAGCACACTCCCCTTTTGTACTTTTTCTATTGTACAGTACAATTCATAAAATATTTGGACAAGGCAACGGCAGGATGAAAGAAGTGGGTAATTTAGAACTTAAGAATTCTTTAGTGATTTGAGTTTTCTGTTCTTTGGTATCTTACTATAGTCTTGAATTTGAGAAATGGGCACAGCAGTTCTCCAAGCAGCTTTTACAGTCAACCTACTGAGCTACATGTGGGACTTGAACAATACATATCACATTACAGTCTGAGAATCGATTATAGCAAATCCTTTTACTTCACACTTGGGTTGACTTATCAGATAAGAATAGTTCTCTCTTGCTTGTTGAAGAAGTAACAGAGAACTTGAATTCTCTGTGTATAAGCCTGTCCTCTCAAATCCAGCACTAACATGCAGAAAGACCAGTTGTATTGGTGAGGGAGGAGTCACTGTATGTGTTTGTAGAAGGCAGGGGATTATGGAGAACGGTGACTTAGCATTAGTCATCAGAGGATGAAAAATGGCCAGATGCCATTGCAGATGGGCTATAGGGTGAACTGCTGAAGAAAAATGTTAGCAGTTACTGTAATTCAGCAAATAGCACTCCAAGGGCAAAGGCCTGTAGTGTAGCTAAAGAGATAACCAGTAAATTTCCAGGCTTCTGAAATTTACTTTTGTCCTTCCCTGAAATCTTCCAGAAACTACACCTTCACATACCTAGTTTCCTTTTGTTAATCAACAAGGTCTGTAGTGAACCTGCTGACCAGACTGGAATGTTCCCATTTCCTATCCAGCTGCAATATTAAAATGGGTTACATAAGGCTAGTTGTTCTGTAGTCTTGGCATCAGACTAGTTTTCAAATGAGCAGTTAGATGATGTAAATTCTTTTAACTCTTTCCTAAAATTTGAGCCTGGCTGTTAAGAAAGATTGTTCCTGGTAAGACTTTTGTGTGCATTTGTAAAATACTTGTGAACTGTAGACTGCTGCTTTCTGCATTTGTCAGGTTTGAAAGTAGTTTCAGAGATGCTGAACACTGATACTGACCTCAATTTTTGGATGGAGTTGAGGACGTACTTAAGCCTAGAGTGAGTCAATGAATACGCGAAGAGAGGGAAGGAGCTAAAACAAATCGGCATTTAAAAAGCTGAGGGGCTAAGTCTGCAGGATCTTATGCTTAACTGGATGGCATTTCTGGGATTGAAGATAAGTATTTAAATGCTGCATCTGTTTAATTCCAAAATGTCAGGAAATGCTATAGGCAGTACCGAGAAACCGCTCTAGGAATCAGAAGGGAAGAATGCAGAGAGAAGAGATAACACAATCTCTGCTTTTGGAAGAGGTAGCAAACTAAACTTCCATGATTATCAGCAGATCTTTGGAAGAATTGCTCCTGGAAGGTAGCAGTTGATATGTTCCAAGCTTGTATCACTCCTTTGCACTGGAATAGCTGACACACTGAAAAACGGAGATAAGCAAGGTGCAGGGAGGACAGTAGGATGCAGAGACTCTGCCACAGGGGAGCAGAGTTTTGGGGGAATGAATTGCCCACAGTTCACGGTTAATGAGGAGGACAACCAAACAATTGGTAATGGGAGCAGCAGAGCATATGAGGGCACTGAGATTCCCAAGGCATGTGTAAAGTCCTCTAAAGAGCATATTTGTATTACACAGATAGGTCCTTGACTTTCCCAAACTAGTATGGGGACCAATGGTCCCTATTTGCCAGAACAAAGAAACTGTAATGCTTAATTTGAGTGGGATGTCTTTAACAGCTTTGCTGTTGGAGAAATCATTCTACTTTCAATCATGGTGGGAAGGCAGGGCAGACCACCTGCTTATTTTTAAGGAAGTCAAAACCAGAGCATAGAAGCAAGTGTTTTTGTCCCAAGTGTAGAAGTAAACAATCTGTTTGAGCTGGAAGCTGCAGTTCCATGAGACGACGACGCTAGCATCCCACCACCTTTGAAAAAGCAAGGTTTTGATCTTTCCTGTGTGCTTCCACTGCTCACCTTATGCAGGCTGGAGCGCTTACTGATCTCAGTATGTTCAGAGTAAATGGAAGACTATTCAAATTACTGTCTCTGTAGGAAAAACAAACCATGAGCCCAAAACAAGATGTAGCTTTTCACTAGGAGTTAAGTCAGCTTTACAATAAGCCCAGTAAGCACTAGAGGAAAGGACAAGCTGGGGCTGTGCTGCTGAGGACAGAAGGAGGTGGAGCCAGGCTTCCTTTCCCTTGTTAGAAACCATTAGCTGGGTATGAAACCACACCTGGAGAAAGTGCTTGAGGCGTGAGTATGGAAATGAAGCTCGAGTTACTTCTGGGAAGCTACTGTTGGTAAGGAGGGAAAAAAAGGTGTTGCAGTAAAACTGGCAGCCAAATGTAGTTGAGGGGTGTAGCAGTTCTTTCTCTCTAAGTATAACCATGCCAAGAATCTGATAATGTCATTGTAAGAGGGTTGCAGCAGTGGTTTACAGGTGGAAGTAACATAATTTCTGACGAAAGACTATCTAAATTCCTCTGATGCTGTTTTAGTTATATTGGAGATGACATTTCAAGTTAGCTTAAAGATAGGTGATGTAGAAGTGTTGCTGTAGCAATAGTGAGGTATTTCTTAGTTTTCTGTTCAGTGTATAAATTGAAATGCCTTCCCAGTCCTGAAGGGTTAACAGAAAGGGAAGATACGGGACCCAAATGCTTTTAATACAAGAGTGACTGTACTATCTAAGGGGTGCATTTCATCTATGCATTTGAAAAGGAAATCTCTTGATGTTTTATCATCATTTTAAGTGCATCTGCAGATGAAGTGTTACTGCTGTAGAACATCTATCCTTGCATTCTCTGGAATTATTTTCGTACCTGGGCTACTAAATCTAAACTAATAATTAGAGAGATGTTAAAGACAGTAGTTATGTGGGGTTTTTTAGAGGCTTATGAAGGGTATTCCAAAAGTCACCTCAATCATAACATTGGGAATAAAACTTCATCTTCCCTTGTCTTGTTTAGATACAGCTATGTGCTAGCATGTAATTAGCTTCATCTAGCAGTTTTAAATTACATTTCTTACTCTCCTGTTAACAGCTAGCAAAAAATATTACTTGATAACCATAGACAAACTGAAGTTTCAGCTGAAAGGAAACAGAACATTTTCCAGTAATAAAAGGTAATTAAAAAAACACAGATGAAACCAGTTTTCTTCATTCTGAATCAAAAATTCTGTTAAGAGTAAACATTAATACTAAATGCATGGAAAGGAGGGGGTGGGAGGAATTCACAATGGAAGCAGTGACGGAATGTTTACTAAAGCAGTGCTATACATTGCAGTGCTATTCTGAATAATGAAAGCTTTACTGAAATCCACAGCACGTTTTCAGATGTGGTAAGCACCTGCAGCACTGTTACTGTGACAGGCCTCAATAACAGAGTAGTGTCAACATTTCACAGGCTCCTACCTTCTCATTTTGGAGTCCTTCTGCCAGTACCTATGAACAACTGTAGAGCCAAACATAATTCTAGACATAAGGTGACTTCATGGGAGTTTGAGTTAGTATGAATTCGATTTAAGCTTGGAAATTGATAAATTTCCACTGTGACCAGGAACACTTTAAAAACTGAACTCTTCTGTTTTCTTGCTGACTTACGAAGTTCAAAGTGATACTACTTTTCCAAGCCAGTGTTATCCTTTAATATCAAACCATGAACTCCAGTGATGTGCAATTAGGTGGTTTTTCTGCCCCGCATCATTTGGAGCCACAAATTTTCCTCTTTGCCTGCAAGTAGAGGTAGCTGTGTAACTATGGTAAACCCATTTGGAGAGCAGTTGAGAGCCTCATGAGTAACAACTTT